CACAACTTCTAATACTGTAATCTTCCTTTCTTTCTTCTTTGACTTCTCTGATCACTCCCCAATCCTCTGACTACTTTCTATTCAAAGCACCTAGCTGTTTTCATCTTTGTGTTCTATTTTGCACATTTACAGTTTTTCCCTCAGTTTTCTTAGTAAAGGATTTAGCTCTTTGTTGAGAACTAACCTGCCTGGTAGCTCACTATTAAACATTAGAATATTTAAGATTTGACCCCAGACTCCTGTATTTTAACTGTTCATTCTCTTTCTTCATACTTTGACCCATGCACTTGTTATTTTAAATGCCTTGTCTAGAAAATAACCTCTGAGTGTGTAGCTCCAGTGATCTCTGCCAATTGCTTGATCAGTATCTATGTATGGATTAAAAATGCCAATTCAAAGTTCACTAGGACTAAAGGCATTGTTTATCTTCGCAGCTGGTCTTAATTTTTCCAGTTTCTCCCCATATTAATTAATCATTGAGACTTTTCAAGATCATTTCTCACCCATCTCTCAAAGTCATCAATAATGTGTACATTAATACAACTATCATGTTAGACCAAGTACCACCATCTCTTGCCTAGAAGAATATAAATTCATCCTAGTTGGTATCACTAGAGCTTCCTTTTTTGTTCTCCAATTATTTCTCCATACAGAAAAAAGAACAATAACCATCTTGAGTTCCCCTTTAAAACACTTAATTTATTCCCTTTTCTTTAAGCAGAAGTGGGAAATTCTCATTTTCCATACCTGTTCTGCATGACCCTACCCCAGAAGTCTGAGCTATGTCATGTAGTCTTTATGAAAAAGAATGGTGGAGCCATGATGGTTGGGTTTGAATCTGAACTCTGATACTCTTTAACTGTGTGAAATACACACGGTACATTCTTGTCTCAGCCTCAGTTTTCAGTTAAGTTACTAGTAGTACCTACTTCTTATTATTGTTTTAAAAATAGAAACATTGAATACATATATATCAAATACATATGTAATAATATATGAATACATCATATATATGAATATATTATAAATTGGATACATATACATGCATTGAGTGCATATATATATATATACACACACATACTTTGAGTAACACATTCCATTTATTTAGACATCAGTTCAGCATATTATTACTTTTTCATGATTTTTTTTCATGCATTATCTACTTTTCAATCACTATACCTTAACCATTTTGTCGGTTCCTTTGTCTTAGTTGTTCAAACACCTATGCTCAACTCTATTCCAGCATTTTCAAAAGCTACGTCCTCTGCCGTAGCTATGAGTTTTTAATAGATCAGGTATAATTTTAAAAATATCTTTCTTACTAACTATGCCACATGTTTATTCTGAGAATATAAAATGTATATATTTTATATTGTATTCCTAGCGTCCATCACTATTGTATCATTAATTTATTGAAAATGATCAAAATTATGTGACTTTGTCATATCGAGAAACATGTTGTTTTGTTAGCTGAAATTATACAAAACATTAAATTAAGACAAAGGGATGGTATGGCAGGTCTTTTTCATTTCAGGCAGGGATATTTTTCACGGGACTATGCAAAGATTAATTAATTCCACAGAACAATATGCAGCTATTAAACTGTGTCCTTTACTGTCTAATGTCCAGGTACTAAGTAACAGCTTAGAGATTTCTTAATAACTAAATAAATAAATCTAAATAAATAATAAATAAATAAATAAATCTAAGGTTTATGTTTTCTTTAATCTATAGAATACATGCCAGTGTGAGCCCTAACCTATTATATAATATTTATTTTAGTATTGTTGTCTATAAATCATAGTTATCACATGCTTTTCATTACACTTTTAGTCTCGAATGTTCTCCCCTACAGGTTAAAGGCTTGATGTTCATTGCCACGCCATGGAGAAAGGAGGATCCTTTAGGATTTAGGCCCATCGAGAATTCTTGAATCCCTTAGAGGCAGTCCTTGAAAGGGGGTTGAAGAGCCCCAGCCCTTTCCTTGCTCTCTTTTGCTTTCTGGCCCTTAGGTTAACTCTTTCATTCTACCAAGAGCTTCTAGGATGTGCTCTGTTGTCGTAGGCCCAAAGCAATGTGGCTAATTGATCATAAACTGGAACCTCCAAGACCATGTGGCCAAAATAACCCATTATCTCTGTGAATGGATTATCCTTTTATTATCCATGATTCTCTCATAATGAAATACTTTTGTATGCTTATTTCATATTGGTAGGAATAATACACTTTTAAAATTAATCATTTGCTGTATCAAGGAAGTTGCTCTTTTGCTATATATCTGGACCAGTGATACCCTGAAAACTTTTGGTTTCCTAGTAGATTATGCAATAAAATATATAAAAAAGTAGCTTAAATAACATTATTTTCAAGCAGTAACATAAGATGATGTCAAAATCGAAGTATTTCTACTTCAAGGTTCCAAAACAATAGGGGCCAACTGTTTCTAGATTCCAAGTAGAATTGCGAATTCACTATTTGAAATGCAAAAGAAACAGAATTCTCTCTTTTCTTAAACTTTAGCTTTTTAATCATAACAAAGGCAATAAAATATTACAGTTTAAAGACTAATATAGTTTTGGAGAGCATTTTATTTTATTTTTTTATTTTATTGAGTTTATTGGTACATTTTAGGTATACAGTACATTTACATTCATCATTGGGATCTTGTACATTTACATGACAGGTCTTGGTTCTCATTTTTTCCTCTTGTCCCTCCCCTCCCTTCATCCCCTCCTCCACTCCCCTTATGGAGAGCATTTTAATCTACTGGGTCCCACTCAGTCCTCAGGTGAAGAGCAAGATGCACTTTCCCTTCATATAAAGCCGTACAAGAGCTTTGTAAAGACCACTCAGATAACTTATTACGGATCCCTCGAGGCCGAAGTAACACAGTGTACTGACCACGATAGTCCTCCTGTGAGCAAAAGGATGAATTCCTGTTTGTTATCAGAGCAAGTCAGGGATAGATGTGTCTGTTGAAACTGGCCTTCACTGGGTAACTGGCAGTACTTTAACCTGGTGACTGTGAGACCAAAGTCCTAACATAGTGAATGAGCTCTGACGATATTCTTTCTCATACTCTTGCAGTGAAAACAAGGCTTCAACTATACTCCACTACTAATAAAATAATTCATTCACAAACAGCTTCCAAACAGTCATGGCCTTCTACCTGGCAGAGGTATTGGTTAATCTTCTCGATCAGTAAGGTGAAAGACTTACTCCTCATAAGATGGTGGCATGCTGGACTGAGCTATGGTCAGCAATTGTACCCCTCTCCAGAAGACCTTGAGCTGTAAGCTCTCTATCTCTCCTAATTTCTCACCTTTCAATGGGAAAAGTATTTAATTTTCAAATGTTAAGTGACACTCCTAAAGTGAGCTATGAAAAAAAAATCAGTTTAAGAAGTATTACACTTGAGATGCTGAATTATTTTTAAATAAATAGCTGAGAATTCAGCTCTAAAATTCCTAAAGTTCCCCAGGTTTTCCTGGGAATGCAATGGGCACTTAATTCCCAAATGACAAGGCCATGACAAATATATCAAGCCAGCATGGGGTTGTTTTTTGTCCCCTACAACTGTGGGAGAAGACAATATTGATTATTTCCAAAGCAGGCTGTAAAGAGTTAACACCACAACTGGCTTGTTTTGAGAAGTGAGCCCACCTGAAGCCTATGTGCCAAGTTCAGAGTAATATGTACTCAAATTCTGTTCCGCACTGCAGACTCCTGCACCATGAGAGCAAGGGCCAGCTGTAAACACCTGCCTGATGCTCCTTCCCTTATCTGTCAAGTAAGAATTTCCATACTACGTTTTATACTCATTGTGATTGAAGTTCTCCTTTTATAAGGAGAATCTCAAATTTGCAGAGGCTTATAATTTGGAAACTCATACAATGGGTTGGGTGATATAATTACTAATCTGAGTCAGTGCATGAAGAAGACTGGAAATTACTTGCGAATTTTGTTATCCGAAAGCGTTGCAGAAATTCTGTTGAGAAAACTATGCCAAGAAGATTAGCTCAGGAAGACCCCTTTATTCAGGTGAGGAGACTCAGGTCACTAACGTCAGGAAGCTGAACTCCTAGACCTGGGGTGGTTCAGGATTTTTGAAGTATCAGGATTTTTGAAGGCAGAAAGCAGGAGACCAGCAGTGGGGCTTGCTGGGGATTTTCCTCTGGGTTGTTTTTGATTTCTGTTTTCCAGGAGGGTAGGAGGGTGTCCTTGGGCTTCCTGCCTCAAAAGAGGGTCTGGACAACTATTCTTCATCAGAGGGAAGTAAAGGCAAAACAAATCCCACAGGACAGTGTAAATGGTGAAAAATAAAAATGAAGTTCTGTTATGTTTGTAATAATGGGTCCTATTTCAGATTCTCTCAGGGACACACAACTTGCATGGCTCAGGAGTTAAACACCCAAGATCCTCCTGCTTGTATAACTAAAGGTCCTTTCTATCTTCCCTTTGAACATCTAAAAATCTTTTAACTGAAATGTCCAGAAAGTCCTGCATGCCACGGGTAAGAGAGGGGTTGCATCAGATGCACCCTAATTACATTTCATCTCTGTAATGACTAAAGAACAGGATTGCCCTAAATTACAAGATCCCTGGGACAGAATTTCTTTTTTTTTTTTGTACCAGGGATCGAACTCGGGTCCTTGTGCTTGCAAGGCAGACAGTGGAACCACTGAGCTAAATCCCCAGCCTGGGACAGAATTTCTGATGGCTGTAGACTTCTGCCAGGGCAGGAGTTAGTTCTCTGAGCTCAGGGCAAAGGATAGTGGAGAGGTGATAAGTGTTCAGTGGAAACGTGAGCTGCGGGGACACCGTACCACGTGGAGCTGAGGTTTAGAAGTCATGTCTGAGAAAATAATTGAATTTATATCACCTGATATAGCTGCTACCATATGGTCTAAAGATAGTTTTCTTTTAGGAACTGTGTTTTGAAGAAAACTACTATCCTAATATTTTCCTTATTTGAAAGATGATGCATTATTACGGGCCTAAGTCATGGAAGTAACTTCTTTGATTTGCATTTTAACCCAGTAAAAGTCAATAACGTGTAGATGTATGGAGCTCGTGGTTTTGGGGTTTTTTGTTTGTTTCTTTCTTTTATGTTTCTTTACTTGTCTTTATACAACTCCATCTTGTCATATAATCTTCAGCGTTTTCTTCTACTATTTGAAAAGCATGACTTCATTCTAGCAGAATTTCATCAAATTAAGCCATGGATGATTTAATCCCTGCCTCTATACTGAAAGGAAGACATTGAAAATTGTTTTATAAACTTTCATGCAAATATTAATTAGTTCAGATGTTTCAGAGCAAAGCATATGTAAAAAAATTTTTATTACTCACAATCATTTTCATTATGAAAAATGATGTGATTTTGGTTAATATGCTAAGGGAAATTTCCTTTAAAAAAGAGAAAAAAGGAACAATAAAGAGAGTGAAGAAAGCTGTTTATACCACCCTACCTCATAGATTTTAGGCTATTTCATCTGAAGTTGTTCAAAATTTTAAATAATGTAGCAATTGATTATCTAAATCACATCTTTCTTCCATATGCCATTTGATCTATTGCATATAAAATTTTCTGGGCTATAATTCCTCTCTAACAATATTTAAAATGATCATTCTTAGTGCTTTTGGCCTAGGAGAGTATATTTCCTAAAAAGTAACTAGAAAAAGAATCGCAGAATGCGAAGGAATTTCAATAACAGTACAATTTCTATACATTATTATCTTTTCTGCTTACAGCAGCGCCAAAGTTCCACTAGTAAGCACTATGCTTACTTTTCATATATTCTCCTCCAGAAAATCATCGAATATGCCAGTAGATTCATGGGGAATTTTTGTGAAGTAATTTTAGAATATTTATCAAAGATGGTCCTTGATAAATTGAGTCTTTACTGTCCTCAGTGACACTTTTGTGGCACAAAAAGAATTACCTACAGGGCCTGCCTCCACTGTGCCCAGGAGTTACCACTAGGCTTCTGTTAGTTACTTTTCTCTCATCGCTGAGACAAAATATTGCATAAAGTTGAGGGGAAGGGGTTGTTTACCTCCGAGTTCCTAGAGGCTTCAGTCTTTAGTCAGCTGGCTCCAAGGCAGGGTCACAGATGGGCAAGAGTTCACTGTGGTGGAAGAGACAACAAAAAGCGACAAGGAACTTTAAGAGCATCTCTGCCCGTTTTACCTTATTCAGACTCCTTAGGGCAGATTGCACTCAGGCCCTTAACCCTAGTGCCTTTGGGCTTAGCCCCACCATGAACCAATTACCCACTCTAGATTCAGCCACCTCCAGATGGCCCCCGTTCTCCTGAGGGTTTGGGGGGACATCTAAACACAAGCCATCGCACGGCTTCAGAATGATAACGCAGGTGAGAAGTGACAACTGGCTGAAGATGCTGCACAGGTATACACACGACTTCCCAGCAACTATAGAATTCGACGCTAGGGTTTCCATGTCGGAGCTTAACCAATATCATCACTGATCAACTTCCTTCCTTTAAGAACAAAATCAATACCCTCAGTGAGGTGACTCTCACTGTATTCTCTCATTTTTGATATTTGGAATTACATCTCTTATAAATACGAAACCATACAATTGGTGTTCTGTTCAAAAAAGTCTTTGCCTATGCTGTGTATTCGAGAGTTTTACCTTTTTTATCTTCTGGCATATTAAAAGTTTCTGTTTTAATATTTTTTTTAAAGTGAGAAAAGTGTGTTTTTCTTTTGTTGTTTTCCATTAAGTTTATTGGTACATTTTAGGTATACAATACAGTTACATTCATCATTGGGATCTTGCACTTTTACATGATGTATTTTGGTTCTTATTTTTTCCCCAATCCCCTGCTCTCCTTTCACCCCCTAGACCATTCCCTATTTACGAAGACTTTGTTTCCATTTTTTCTTTTTCTTATATTTTTTTCTTTCCCCTTCGTTCCTATCCCCTACCCTTCCCACTTTGCCTACTCTTTTAGACCTTAAGAAAATTGTGTTTTTGATTAGGTAAGCAACTTATAATTGGAGATAAATGGATTACATGCTGTTATACATTTGGAAAATATATCAATAATAAGTGAAGTATAAATTTACACAATTTCTTTTGAGATCAATTTAAAAAAGAAATGAAAAATCAAATAATTACCAAACTTCAAGATGGTTTTCTATCATTACATCTCCAATTAAAATTAAAGAACACTGCCCTTCAACAGAAATAATCAAGTTTCATTAAGGGACACTTCATGTGCACAAAGCAAAAATATACAGAAATTGAAAACAAAATTGGAATGTGCTACTCCATTAGTTCATAAGATATATAGTAAAATGAGTGTATGATAATGTGTATGGTGAAGAATTCTGAAAAGAAGGGTCTGTGACCTCCCTACTTTCCTTTTTAAAAAGAGTAAGTTCAGGAAGTTCTGATGATGCTGCCTTGAAGATATATATTGATGAAATACACCAATAAAATATGATTTTATAGGAAATGTAATCTGGGAGAAATTGCTGAACAGGAAAATAATGAACAAGCAAATACTTTCAAAAAATATATGCAGTCAATTTCAAGGTTTAGTAATAATGTGATTTTTTCCCCCATGAAGACTTTGAGTTGCTGATATGAACAGGTCTTTTTGTCATAAAATAAAACAAGAAAGTTCTTATATTAAAATGAGAGAAAATAACTTTTTTAATAGCCTAGTAAATTGCAATCAATACTCTGCTTGCCTAGTAGCTGAGATATTTTTATCAATTTATCTGCAATTACCACAGAAATATCATGCAGAGGTAATTACATGCTGTTCTCACATTTTGAAAAGTAGTATTTTGTCAAATTGTGCTTGGATATATCTATTAGCCCTGCACAAATTCAAAAGGAAGCTGGAGAAACTGCTGAGAGAAATGTACTTTACAATTTCATTTCAAAGCTATATAGAGTTAAGGGCCTAACTGCTAGTTATAAAAGTTATATGAAGGTATAGGTCTGCTTTTTATTGTTGTAGCAGTATCTTTGTGTAGAAGCCTATAGCTAAGGGATACATTATCTTATTTTATTGCCTACGATCTTTGTTCACCTGTGAATTATAATGCTGACCTGTAGGTCTATGCCTCCAGAGTTGATTAGCAGGCAAAGAAGAAAACATTATTATGGTTAACATTACCATATGACAGGCACTACTTGAAGGGTTCCATCTGAGTGAGCTCAGTTCATTTCCACAACAAATCATGAATATAGATATTTTGTCATTATCTCAATTGCAGAAAGAGAAAGAAAGAAAGCCCAGCTTCATTATTGTGCTCTTGGCTGCAGAGCAGGTTAAGGAGAAGATCCAAGATTTAAAGTCAGTTAGCTCAAATGCCCAGTGCTTGATCTAAATGCCATATTGCAATGCAAGTTATTCAGCCATACAAGAGAAAACTGTTTCTCAGAAGAAGTCTTTCTGGCAAATTCACCAAAAGCTTCCCAAAAGTGATATTATTTAACATAAACAAGTAAAAAGTATGATGAACCAGATTATTTTATGCAGCATAGGAGGAGAAATACAAGTACAGTGATAAATATGGAGTTTTTCTACATATAGAATATACTAAGATAGTGCTAAAATCTTACTAATGGTGCCTAAAGAAAATGCTGTTTTAAAACTTAAAGCATTTAAAAATATATTAGGGAATAGTTTTCCTTTTGACACATTGGCGAGAGGACAACTTAAGTTATCACAGGAAAACTATTGCTTTTGATAATTGCAGAATTATTTATTTTCATGCTATGGCATATAATCAGTTTTTAAACAAAAATATCCTATGTTTAAAATAGGTGGAAAAAAAATTTACTGAAACTTTTAGAACTGTAGTGTGTTGCAAATATTGTCGTTCCAAGTATGAGAGCACCTCTCAGTGGTGGGAAGATATTACTGTTTCAAAGAGAGAAATGGGTAAATTCTAGACATAACTGAATTTTTCTTGACCTAAAATTTCATGTGCTTGTGTTGTTGGTTTTCAGAGCCATTTGTTTTTCTCCTGACTGCCAGGTTTTTCCCCTTTCTTCTATGAATTATTGCTAGCAAAGGAAAATAAGCTGTATCCAAAGTATTGCTCCACTCCCGAGTTTTTAGAAAGGAGAGCATAGTTTAATTCTAGATCACCAGGAATACCAAGTAAATTGACGATGTCATATTTCTTTCTGTTATAGGTCAAAGAAAAAATATATTACTATGTTTTCTAGATTAAAAAAAATATTTTAGCATAGATTCAAACAAATAAGCCACATTGCTGAGCAAATTAGACAGAGATAGATATAGGTAGGGGTATAGGTTTAGGTATAGTGTTCCCTCCTCTACCTTGTGGGTTCTTAGCCTCCTCAACAGACGCAAAGCAACATTTTTACCTACAGAAATATGTAAGTTCAAATTCCTAGAGATTTGGCTTTAATGCTGGAACCGAAGTGCACAAGATAAGCAATTGAGAAGGGAAACTGGATACAAATAAATAATCAGGAACCTATAAACATAAATTTGAGACCAAAAACAAATTACTGAATCTATGTCAATTCTTCTTGCCTCCATTTTAGTGTAAGTATCCTATAGAAGTGAAAGCTGGTCTGGGGATTTAGCTCAGTGGTTCTACCACCTCCCTCACAACTGCAAAGACCCAAATTCAATCCCCAGTACCAAAATAAATAAATAAATAAAAAATAGCAGAAGAGAAAGCTTACTTCATAGAGCTAAATATCCTTACTGATTCAAGAGTTGAAGGAGCTGAGCTGGGCATGGTGGCACACTCCTGTAATTCCAGCACTCGGGAGGCTGAGGCAGGAGGATCGCTGTGAGTTATAGACCAGCCTGGGCTACATAGTGAGTTCCAGCTCAGTCTCAACTACATAGTGAGACCCTGTCTCAAAAAATAAAAAAATAAAAAAATAAAAAAATAAAAATAAAAAGAGTTGAAGGAGCTGAATGAAGCTAGCATAAGAAGATAGAAAATTGCAGACTTGAGCACTTCTCACACCATTAAGGTGAACCAACAGTGAAAATATTTGTGAACTACAAGGACATCGCTTCCTTTTCTCCCTCAAGATCTTCCATGAAATATTGTGCCAGGCTTCACACTAACCATAAACACAAAGACGGAACAAAGTCACCACAGTGCTCTCCTTGTTGGGATGTTGCCATACCCTTGAACTACATTAATCTCCTATCATGGAACACAGCAAAGTCCTGCTTCCACCTAATTTGTTACAATGACTCCAGAGAGAAATGAAAATATGTTAACCCTTTCCACAGAAGGGATACAAAATTCTTTTTGGGAGGAGTTCTTTTACTAGTATATTCTTGCAACACATCATGGTTACATTCACCATGGAGAATTGCTACACATACATAATTCTGTCTTCAGGGAACATTCCTTCTTCTGCTACTTGACTCAAGCTATTGCATTAATATCCTGTAGTTTAAATGCTGAGATGCAAAGTTAAATACTATTAATATAAAACATTGTACAAGATCATGAATGAGAGGGAACAAAAGAAAGCAATATTCTGTATGTGGCGTCACACATAGGTGACCCTGTTCATATCAACATAGAGAAGAAATGATCATAACTAAAACCCTTGTTACTTGAGTAAGTACCAAATCGTTTCTCTGGTGTGAAAACTAAAAGTGTAAATAAGGTTCAAACGATGTAATTGAGAGTGTGAGATAGGAAGAAAATGGCTCAAGGGGAAGTGGGAGGGGAGGGGAGAGGAAATAAGGGGGATCAAGGGAGGGCAGAGGAATGGGGAAAAAACAAGAACCAAGACATATCATGTAAAGGTACAAGATCCCCATGATAAATGTAACTGTATTGTTTGTTTTAAATATCAATTAAGTATCAATAAACTTAATGGGGAAAATTATTAAACCCTTGTTTCTTCTAACAGTTATATGATCATAGCAGATAGATACATAGACAGATAGATAGATAGCATCTTCTGCCATCCAAATACCCATTATTCTTAGCAAATATTCACTTTGTTACTTTTTATTGCCTGGTGGAGTTACCCAAATCCTCGTTTAGAGAGATCTGGTCTATTAGTAATCCAAACTGAATTGGCCATGATAATTTTCTAATGGTTTTAATTGTAGAGAATGAGAATACTGAGATGTATCTGAAAGTACTTTCTGTATTCCATATATTTTCACACTTATCAGCAGCTTAGTAGCAATCCAATTTCACCTTGATAGAAGAATCTCTCAAAAATCACACAGAAAAGCCATTCTTTGCCTTTAATTATCTAGGTTAAAATCTCAGTGTAAAAATAAATATAATATTTTTAGTGTTTCCAAAAGGAAACATTATCTGCTCTAGGTATAAAATTTGTAGACTTACACAGCCTAAATTGATGGGTACAAGAAGAAAAGCATTGCTAGTAGATCTTGAGTAATAATGATAAGAGACTCTCCCATTTCCTCTGCTTGGTTTCCAGACTCATGAACTCTTACTATGAGAAATATAGTACCATATATTAATGCTGAAGAGAATATTCTAAAAATATCATCTTAGTCCTGAAAATATTTGCCATCTGAGTCACACCATACATAAGTCTTTAAAAAGTGTAATAACACCTTTCTTTCAGTTATTCTATAAAGAAAGTGGTCATTTAATAAGCATGAACCCAGTGCTGTGTTTCTCCTGTGATATAAGTTCATGATCAGCAGTAATGCGATGGGAAGCAATATAACGATCAAGGGACCCTGTAGTACCTAGGTAGCAGCATTGTTGCAAAACACGCAGTATCTGGAACCAGTTACTCTTCGTGATTGCAAGTTTATGTTACAAAGCTCATACAAATCTCCATCCTGGTGACTGTCTTAGTTTCTTTTCTTGGTGCTGAGTCAAAATATCTAATAATCAACGCTAAAGGAGGAAAAGTTTATTTCAGCAAACAGTTTTTTTAAGATTTTAGTCCATAGTCAGCTGGCTCCAAGGCAGGGTGGCATGGCAGAGGGGCATCATTAATTCCTATCATCTTTTATGGCTATTGATTTCCTGGAGACATATAAATTTAATATTCTATAAGGTGTAAGTATATTCTGATCCCTAAGCCATAAACTTAAATTTACATGCTGGAGCTATTTATTGAATACAAGATCAGCAAGTTTCCAAATATTCACTTCCCACTCCTTAAAGATACATTTTCATACTTGGAAACAGCCCATTTGCCCATCAGGTGGAAACTAGATAAAGAAGATGTGCTTTTTCTATAAAATATTTAATAATTAAAAGAATCATACCACAGTGATATATGTGCACCTATGTTTATAGCAGCACAGTTTGTAATAGCTAAAACGTGGAAACAGCCCATTTGCCCATCCGTTGGAGACTGGATAAAGAAGATGCGGTTTTTCTATAAAATGGAATACTACTCAGCCATAAAGAATAAGAAATTAGATTCATTCATAGGAAAATGGATACATATTGAGGATATACTCCTAAGTGAAATAAGTCACACATGTGTAAATACCGAATAGTTTCTCTGATGTGAACGAACTATAATAGTACATAAGATCCTAATGAGATAATTGACAATGTGAAATAGAAAGAAAAGGGCTAAAGGTGTAAGGAAAGTGGGAAGGGTAGGGGAAGGGGAATGAGGGAAAGAAAAAAAATAGGATAAAATAAAAAAATGGAAATAAAATGTTTGTAAAGGGGGAGGGGGTGAAGGGAGGGCAGGGATAAGGGGAAAAAATAAGAACCAAGACCTGTTGGGTAAAGGTAGAAGATCCCAACGATGAATGTAACTGTACTGTATCCCTAAAATGTACCAATAAACTCAATAAAAGAAAAAAAATGATTTCAATAAATGATTTCCATTTGGATTCACTGTGGTAATAATGTATGTCGGTGAGCCTGTTTATGAGGTAAGTTCTTCAGTGAAAAACTTGGAAAATCTAATGTAGTGAATTTATTGGTTTCACTAAATTTGGGTTAGTGAGATTGAACACACAAAGTCTGTAAATGAGAATCCACAAAATGTTTTACTATCCTAGTAAATTCAAACGGTGAAGAAAATTGAGGGAAACGTTGATGAGATAGCCTATAAAAGAGCAGACCAAAAGAAACTGACGTTTTGTTTAGAAGAGGATGTAGACCTGTCTTCTTCAGTAAATTAAAAAGTAGAGGGACAGTAAGAGAAAGGGAGAAAGAGAAGGAAAAGAAAATATTGTCAGCTCTGAAAAATATTGTGCCAAACCCTAAAACAAAAGAGGGTGTATTTAGTTAATTTCCCCTCCGTTTCATTTTTGTACTTAATGTTTATCATCCATAAATAATAATCACTAATATTTAAAAGTAAGAGTAAACCTGAACATATAGTAAACAGATAGATGATCAGTACAATAGAAAAATAATATGCTCTGTTCCATTTTATTTCATTAGTCTGTTTTACTAATTTGGCTTCCTTCTCTGCTAGATGCGATTATTCGTTTGGCTTACCTCACCGCTATGTGTACACAAATTAAACAGAAGGTTTATTCAACATGTCGTTTACTCAAATTAACACCTTGTTAAGATACAGTAAATTCACTTAGTTATTTATTATGTTTAAAGCTAATACCTTCTCGTACAGCAAGTTTTACTCTGTGTTTTGCACAGAGGTCCTGACGCAAATCGCTCAGCTACCAACGTAATCGTCCAGAACTTCTCCCTTCTTTTGCTAAAGTGTCAATTCCCACTTCTTCCTGCTGTGATTTTGCTTCTTTTTGCATGGGGACTGCATGGTGTCTTATCTTTCATGGTGTCTTATGCTTAATGATGGTTTCCTTCATTAGTAATTCACACTGGTGAGCGGAGATCCTTGTAGGAGTACAGATGATTAACTACAAAGCTCCCTGCTGCTCTTAGTCAGCAACCAGACCTCTAACTGTTCCACAGATGTTTCTCCTTTAGATTTGTAAGGACTCTAATTGGGTAGAAAAATAGCATATTTCACTTAATTCAATTTGCTACCTACGTTCATGCGTTAGAAACTTCATAATTTAAAATCACATCATTATGTTGTCTTGAACGGACTGTGTGGTTTGTGATTCCACTATGTGTCAATAAAGTATATGAATAGGTCTAATACCAGTAAAGGGCACTTTTTCTGAAATTCAGGTAATCCTATTGGATAGTATATCTAACTCATCTGATAGAAAATGTCTTGATTTATTCTAAAGTTCTCTGAGGTCTATCTGGATTTCTGCCATGTCTCTATCTGTTAGCCTACACAGTAAATAGCCAATAAATGCTTAAATATCACACTAAATTTTCACATTTGCTAATCTATATGGTTTATATAAAGCACCATTTTAATGAAAAGTATAAATATATAATTATGTGATTTTTATATATACAATATTTTGGTTACATGCTAGTATCAGTAAGGTATTATGATCTTATTTGTATTTTAGTACACCAAGTTCACTATAAAGAAATAATTTTTAAAAATATATTTTGATATATCTAAAGGAATCCAAAAATAAGCTTTAGAAAAGGAGTATTTTTAAAATATGATATGTGAGTTTGAAACTGTTGTTGACAGTTGATAAAGGTTGAACCAGCATGGCAATACTTACACGCAATCAATAACTTGGAATTTCCATACCTGTTGTTTTATTACATCGTGTTTTAAAGCGTTGTGTGAATGAAAACTAATAGACTATATTCATCTATTAGGCTATTGCATAAATTATACTTATGTTCTGCTTAATCATTTTAACAAAATTCAATATTCTCAATATTTCTTTTCTTATGCACATATTCAATATCCTTCATTGTGGCCTCTCTCTCTCTCTCTCTCTCTCTCTCT